ACCTCAGCCTCCCAAAGGTGCGGGATTACAGGCTGAGCCACCGAGCCCGGCTAGGATAACCATTTATTTAGAGTGCTATATAATTTTAAATTCCAACTCAGAAGATTTCCTTTTTTTTTAGTCATTACTATTGGTAAAGTATAGCCAGAGAATTGGCTTAATGTATACATGCCTTGGATAATTTAAAAGGAAGAAAATGACTTATCATTAATAAAGTAAATAATGTGTTCATATATGGATACCATTTGTAATACCGTCCAAGAAAATACACTGTTTGTGATTTTATAACTTGATGAAAGGACTGTTTTCATCAAGGACTGTTTCTCACACAGTCTGCTACTATTTTTTTTCCCCCAATTACAGGAAATTGGATCGACTTGAAAAGAAAAAAAAGAAAAAGAAGAAAGATAGAAAAAAGAAAAAGCTTCAAAAGAGCAGAAGTAAGCATAAAAAACATAAAAACAAGTCATCTTCCTCCTCTTCTTCTTCCTCATCCTCCTCCTCCTCCTCCTCTACTGAAACTTCAGAAAGCAGTAGTGACAGTGAGAGTGACGACAAAGAAAAAAAGATGGAAAAGAAGAAAAGAAAGAAAAACAAGTGTTCAGGGTGGAACAGTGATTCTGACGTGAAGGACAAGCCTAAGAAGAAAAAACTTTATGAAGAACTTTCTAGCAGTCACAATAACAAGGAAAAAGCCAAGGAAAAGCCTGGGTTCTTAAAACTAGAGAGTTCTGCTGAGAATAGCAAATGGAGCCATTCTGATTCTGACAGAAAGTCCAGAAACCATCATCACAGCCCAGAGAAGAGAGGATCTGAAAGAAGTGAAGGGGCCAGCAGGAGCCACAGCAGGGACAAGAGGAGTAGGAGAAGCCGGAGTCGAAGTCCGGGTGGTCACAAGCGAAGAGAGATGAGAAAACGGCCACCACATAGTCCCAGTGAAGAGCAAACTAGGAGAGACGCCACCAGAAGCCATGGCTCAGATATCCACAGAGGAGAAAAGATGCCCAGAGAGTACTCGGGAGATCGGCATTCCAGAGTGACACAGGGGAGACCGGGCAGGAGCAGGGAGTGAAGAAAGGGAGACCGTGTGACTGATCTGGGAACACAAATGTCTACACTTTGTGACTGCACATCTTTAGCAAGGGCTAAATTATGTACTATTATCTTTTAATAAAAAAACTCTTTTAATTTTTCATCTCTAAACTGTCATTTCAAGTATAAAACTACAAGTCTTTAAGAAGGAGGTTTGCAAATGTTTGTAAGTAATCTATTTTGGGGCTGTAGAAATATTTTCTGTTGGTAGCTGTTTCTTGTGCCCTATTCCAGATAAAAGCTGCATATAACTCTGTGACATTTTCTTTGTTCTGAAACATCATTAAAAGAATGACAGTCCATTGAATGGGTATAATTTAATTTTTTTCAATTCAAATTTGTTACTACTTTTGAGGTTTGAATTTGCTTAAAGCAAAGTGTAATAATCATTGTTGAAATTCACTAGTATGAATTTAACAATGGATTGATTAATATCTCTTAGACTTTTAAACTTTTTTTTTGGTATTTTGTTCTACAGAGTAAGCTATTTACATTTGAATGATGTATTCCTTCTCTATGGTGACATACAGATTACCTCAAACTTAAAACAACTAAGTGTATCATCTTCACAGTTCTGGCGATCAGAAGTCTGACATGGGGTCTCAACTGGGCTAAAATTGAGATGTCAGCAGATTGTGTTCCTTCTGGTTTTGCTGGCCTCTTCCAGCTTCCAGATGCCACCCTCATCCCTTGGCTCCTGTTCTCCTGCCTCCATTTTCAAAGTTAACACAGGGGAGTCAGTCCTTCCTCACATCAAATCACTCTGACTCCAACGTTCTGCATTCCTCTTCCGACTTTAAGAACACTTGGGTCTACATCTGACTCACCAAAAGAGTCCTACAATATTTTCCCCACTTTAAGAACAACTGATTAGCAACCTTAATCCCCCTTTTCCATGTAATATAACATAGTCACAGAATGCAGGGGTTAGGACACATACATCTTTGGCCCATTATTCTGCTTACCACAATGACTTTTCTACTATTGGCATACAGCTATTCAAGATTTTACTTCAAAGCTGTGTGTAGTGACTCATGCCTGTAATCTTAGTACTTTGAGAAACCAAAATGGGAAGATTACTTGAGGCCAGAAGTTCAAAACCAGCCTGGGCAACACAGCGAGACTTCAGCTCTACAAAAAATTTTAAAAATAACTGGGCATGGTGGTATGCACCTGTATTCTTAGCAAGTGGGGAGGCTGAAGCAGGAAGATGACTTGAATCCAGGAGTTTGAGGCTGCAGAGAACTATGATTGTGCCACTACACTCCAGCCTGGGGGACAGTGAAACCTTGGCTCAAAAACAAAAAAGTTTTACTTCAAAGAGTTTATATAATATCATGTCACAGATGAAACAATAAAACTTCCAATATATTTCATGAGTATGAGTATATGAGGCATACTTAAATTTAGCTGCAAATTTTCCCATGTGTTTCAAAGGACATAGTAAAGGAAGACTATAAACATTGGTACAAATTACACATAACATGCAATTCCAAAAAACATACTTCATGTTATGATAGTTTGTTATCAGCGTTTCATATTTTAAAAACATCTTATTTAATACAGAACAAATATTGATGAGGTGGTTTTGATAGTTGGCCATCACAATTTCATAAATTTGTAAGGAAGTAAATAAATTTGAGGCTGGGCATGGCAGCTCATGCCTGTAATCCCAGCACTTTGGGGGACTATGGTGGGAGGACTGCTGGAGTTCATGACTGGCCTAGGCAACATAGTGAGATCTCACCTCCAGAAAAACTCAGCGGGGCATGATAGCATTTGCCTGTAGTCCCAACTACTTGAGAGGATAAGGTGGGGACTGACTAAGCCTAAGAAGGTGAGCCATGATCGTGCCACTGCACTCCAGCAGCTGGGGAGACAGAGTTAAAACCCTAACAAAAAATAAATAAATTTGAAAAAAGGAGTTAAGTACACAGTCTGTTACGTATGTCTTCGCCTTGTTTGCACACACAGAAAACAAATGTCCTCTAAGAGAAGCAAAATAAAGATATAAGCAACTCTTTGATTATTTAGATTTTTAAGAGAGTTGGAGGGGGGAGGAACTTGAATTATTTCTACAGTACTCTTTGATAACTTACAGTACACCTCAAAGATCCCCTTCCTTCTTCACTTAAAACATGCATTTGAAATTGATAAAGACTGCTAATTTACACCTTGAGTTCATCAGTGTTGCAGTGATTATTTTCTACCTTACACCTTTTTAGACTTTATAATTTTTATAATGTCAAAACCTATGCAGTACTGCCTTAAAGAGTTTCTGAAGCAGTGTAGGGTTCATGAAATGTTGAAATGCATCCTGTAATTAAAAACAAATTAAAGAAATACATTATCATTTCATTTGACTTTTAACTTTATAAAGTGGTCATAAGATTTTTTTTTTAGACTCTGATTTAATTATCCTTCATTGTTAAGACTGAGAAACTGTAAAGTGCTATCAAAACCCCCAATATTCTTACCCATCTAATTCTGAGAAAAATTTCCATATAGTTATGGAAGATGTTGATTTGCTGTTTGGCTTTCAGCCTTGGTCACTCAAGGGTGCTCAACAGCCCTAATGAGCCAGCATTCTAACTTTGTAAACTTAAAGGAAGGGATGTATTTCCCACACAATTATAACATAACAAGAGACTCACCTAATGCGTTCCGCATACCCTAAAGATGGAAGGAAAGAATCTATTTTATTTTATTTTATTTTTTTGAGTTGGAGTCTCACTCTATCGCCCAGACTGGAGTGCAGTGGCCGCTCCCGGCCACCGCAGCCTCGCCCTGCTGGGCTCCGGCGATCCTTCCGCCTCAGCCTTCCGAGTAGCTGGAACTACAGGCGCGCGCTACCACGCCCGGCTCATTTTTAATTTTTATTGTAGCGACAAGGTCTCGCCAAGTTGCCCGGGCGATTCTCGAACCTGCTGACTCAGACAATCTACTCGCCTCGGCCTCCCAAAGTGCTGGGATTACAGGCTGAGCCACCGAGCCCGGCCGAAAGTGATTTTTAAATAAAAATATAAGGCATCTAATTCTACTTTTGCTTTTGAAATGTAAGGTAGAAACCACAGAGATGAACCTCATAATAAAAAGGATGTCTCGTATGTGTGGAGATGCCTCTAAGTACAGAAAGCCAAAGACAAATTCTCTGATTTGAATGAATCTATGTATGACTTAAGAACCCAAGCAGAAGTACTCAACAGTGACTTTTTTTAGAAAATCAACCTGCTGAAATTTCTCATTCTTCTTACCCTTACCAGAGAAGTTCTTTTAAAGAAACCTTGGTACACCTACACATTTCTTATTTGTCCATGGCCTGGAACTGCACTGAGACGCACAGAACACATTTTGGGGTCATCCCTTCCTCCCCCCACCATTCCCCATTTTCCCGTAGCCTAACATTTCACATAACACTAGCAAATTAATTCCTGTAGGAGGTGCTGTCGATTTACAAATAGCCAGGAAAGAGCGAGTTGCTAGGTTAGAACTTGTTTATCTGCGTGTCTACATGGTAAATTAGTCATCATTTCTCTTAATAAAGGCCAAGCGAGGCAGAGCTTGCAGCAGCATGGTGGCAGGTCTGCTTACCTGGAAATGTGAAATGGGGATCTTGTTTGGAATCCCTGGACTGTAATCTGAAGAAGGCCTTTGCTCTGAGCGGCTTGAGAGACCTTTCTTGCTGTGCCTCCATGAGACTGCTTGCTGACGGTGAAGCGGATCAGACCACGCCGCTGGGAGCAGGCGTTTCCCGGTTTTAATCACTGAGCCCTTCCTAGGCTTCAGCATTGAAGCTAAAGAGTTCAAAGTCCACCTGGGCCATTTCGCTCTCCTCCTTATCTAACGACTGCTGGGCCAAGACGCCCGCGGAGGCCGCTCAGCGAGGCCGCGTCCTCCACTCCCTGCCCTTAAGACCAGGAAGAAAGCTGCATTTTTAGCTTCAGTGGCTGAAGGATATTTAAACATCTTATTTAGGCTTTCTGGAAAGAGAAACCTTTGCTATAGTTAACCACTTCTTGAGATAAAGGCAGGCTCCAGCCGCAGGCCTTGAGAGCGTTTTCAGATCAAACAGGAGAAATGCCTTTAAAAAGTTATGGGGCGCAAATAAGACCGGGAGGACCCTCAGGTTTGAGAAAGTGGAGGCCAACTGAGAGCTCTTCCGGCAGACGGAGGCTCCCCACACCCGGTCCTGCAGACCGAAAAGGACCACCTTTCTTTCACCACCTGCCCTTCCTCCTCCCTTCACGCCACACTGCACATCACCTCCAGAATGCAGCCGTGACAAGAAGCGAGGTGCAGGTGAAACACCAAGAGCCGCTGGCAAAGAGAAACGCACGGGCCGGCCCGAACTGCCCGCGAGGAGCCGCCTCCCCCCCTCGGAGACGCGGACGACCCCGATCCACGGGCTCGAGGGGCTTCCCCAGGGGGCGGGCAGACGTGGGGGAGCGGGGCTGGCCCGGACATCGCCCTAACCCCAAAGGAAGCCGGCAGGGGGCTGGAGGAGGGGTAGGGTGAGTCCCGGGCCGGGGTCGCACCTTCCCGTCCCCGGAGGGGCGCCACCCTGCGTGCTCTGGTGCTTTCCTTCCGGACGCGCGTCCGGCGACCTTTTGAACACACCCAAAGCCACACGGAGAGGCTGAGAATCAGGGGGCACCGGGGGCGCACACCCTCCCTGGAAGATGCGCCCCCGCGCAGCCG